GGGGGGACGCTCATGGGCAGCACGCCGTAGGCCCCCAGTGCCAATCCCTTTTCCTACCACTCAGTGTCAACTGTACAGCCCAGCAGGTGGTGGAGGGTACCACATTTTGGGGTTTCCCAACAGAACCAGGTTGTGTTCTCTGCTGTCTCTGCATGACCGGTCTTCAATAAGTTAAAGTGTACAAAAAACAAACAAAAAAGGACATAGCTAGGGAGCAGCGCCCCCAAACCAGAGAGCAGTGACTCCCCAAGGTGGGTGCAAAACTTGTGGCAACAGCGGGTGGAGCTGCAGGAGGCCAAACAGGAGGGGCAAGAGGCCAGCACAGAGTATGTGGAAGCCACCCAGGGATGGTGCCCACGCAGCACCAAAGCGCCCAGTTTTCCTTCAGCAAGTTACCCAGCCCACAGTCCTGACTAACGTGCCTGTTGGGCGAGGCAAAACCGGCCTTGAGGGAGGAGTTCTGATCTCCTCCTGGACTTCCCAGCCTCCGCTAGAGAAGGGGGAAACCCACATACCCCTGCCCTGGACTCTGGGAGCCGGTGCACAGTCTCTGGCTCTCCCAGGTGGTGGAGATTCTGTCTCTCACAATCACTTAGACCCTGGCAGCCTTGGGCAGGAGGAAGGGATGGGCAGGTACCTGCTGTCTGCACGCTGGGCTGCCCGGGCCCCAGATGGTGAGTGAGACAGGTGGCCACGCCAGGACTCCGCCTCTCCAGTGAGGAGGCCTGTGAAGGAAGACAGGCAGTGAGCTCACCTGGCCCAGACCTGCTGGCAGACATGGGGGCAAGGCACCTAAGAGTAGGTACAGGTCAGAGCCTGGCTCCCCAGCGACCTTGGGAAGTTGCCTCATCTGGAGGAATCTCAGTTGCTTCCAGGCAGAAACGGACAGATTCCAAAAATCACATGGAAACGCAAGGAACCCGGATTACCCAAATAATCTTGTAATAGAAGAATACATCCTTATTTGAAAATTACTACAAAGCTCAGTAATCAAAACAGTGTGGCACTGACACAGAAGGCTAGACATTTAGACCTGGAACAGATTTGAGAATACAGATATAAAACCACACATTCATAGCCAACTGAATTCTGACTAAAGTGACAAAATAATTCAACGGAGAATCGTCAGTCAACACATAATGCTGGGACACCTGCACACCCAACACCACAGACAGCTTAACTCAGCATGGATGGAAGGCCTCAAACATGAGCTAAAGCTATACAACTCACAGAAAACCGGGATAAACCTTCATTACCTTGGACTGGCTAATGGCTTCTCAGGTAAGACTCCAAAAGCATACACAACAAGAAAAAAAAGATACACTGGACTCATCAAAGTAAAAAACTTCTGTCCTTCAAAGAACATTATCAAGATACTGAAAAGATAACTCACAGAATGGGAAACAATATTTGCGAATTATATGACAGGAAAGGGACTTGTACCTAGAATATAGAAAAAAAGTTCTTACTACTCAATAAAAAGATAAACAACCCAATTTAGAAATGGACAAAGATTCTAAATAGATATTTTCCCAAAGAGATACACAAACGGCCAATAAGCACAGGAAAAAATACTCAACATGAGGGGAAAGCAAGTCAAAACCACAGTAAGACACCCCTTCATCAACACAGAAAGGCTATGATTAGGGGCAGATCACACAAGGGGCACCTCACAGAACCAAGCGCCGGCAGAATGCAGACACCCAGGCACAGACGTCGGCTGGAGCTCCAGCTTTGGAAGACAGTCCAGCAGCTCCTCCAAAAGTTAGACGGTGTCAGCACATGACCCAGCCATTTCACTCCTGGGTATATGTGGAAGGGGTTCTGATTACGCCACCCCAAAACACACTGCTCCAACATATGGAGCTGAAGGCAACTAGGGAAAGAAGACACAGGATGAGCTCTGCCCCCAGGAGCTTCAGAGCAGAACATAAACCCCTGCAAGGGTGCCTCCCCCTTCCCGGACCAAGAAGGTATGGCCACCTCACCCCTGTAGACGAGATGGCACCCAAATCAGCACAAACAGACCTTACCAACTGGCTTGATCTCCCACTAGCTCCCCAGGGATCTCCTCCCCATGACCTGTTGCCCTAAACAACCCACAGGCCTCCCGGGCCAGTCACTCCTCTAGATTTACTGTCCTTTCATTAAGATGCTGTAGAAGCCCAAGCCCTGACCACCCTTTGGGTCCCTCATGGCCAAGGGCTCCTGGGTACTGTGCATCAGCTGCTCGTCTCTCTCATTAGTCTGTCTTTTGTCATCTAAATCACAGGGCCCCAGCTGAAGACCCCAGGACAGAAGGTGCAAAGTCAGGCTTCACCTCCCCAACAATACCCAACAGGAAAGAAAACATACCCCTACACTGAAACTGAATGTTGAGTGTTCATATGATTACGCACAATATCCAAATGTGGGAGGACCTGAGTGTTTGTCAGCTGACGAACAGACAAACCAAAATTTAAAAAATTGGATGGTATTCAGCCAAAAAAAAAGGAATGGGGCCCTGCCAAGCACTCCACGTGGACGGGCCCCGAACCCACCGTGGTCAGTGAGCACGGCCAGACCCAGAAGGCCACACAGAGTGTGACCCATTTCTGTGACACATCCCCAACAGGCGGATCCACAGACAGAGAGTGGGCCTAGGAGTACAAGGGGCTGGGTAGGGACAGGGGGTGACTAAGAAGTGCAAGGCTTCTTTGGGGGTGATGGAAGAAGCTAAAATCACTGGTGACGGTAACACAACTATGAATATACCAGCCATCACTGAATTGTGCATATTAAAATTAAAATAAATGCATTGTATGGTATGTGAATCCTACCCCAGTAAAGCTGCTTGCAAAAAAAAAGAATATTTAATGAAGTTTAACAACTTAGAAACTAGTTTGCTATGAATTTCCCCACTGACTTTCTCACTGGGTCCTCAAGAAGACCTGACAAGGTTGTGGAATCATCCTCTTAATGAGAAATAAGGGCCTCAAAGCTCAGAGAGGTCAAGTCATTACCAAAGTCCACACAGCAACTTAGGTGATATAACCACAGGACAGAAGGTGCAAAGTCAGGCTTCACCTCCTGGAGACGAGATGGCACCCGAACCTTCACAAACAGACCTCACCAACTAGCCTGATCTCCCAGTAGCTCCCCAGGGATCTCCTCCCCATGACCTGTTGCCCTTAACAACCCACAGGCCTCCCGGGCCAGTCACAAACTCAGGCTGTGTGACTCAGAGCCCCTTTACAGACCCACCGCTGCATGGAGCATAAATGATGGTACAGGAATGTACAGTACAGCCATGAGCACTGGAGTAACGCAGGCAGAAGCTGGCAAGGACCAGAGATGAGAAGCATGAAGCCCACTGGGGAAAGGGCCCCATGTTCCCTGGGAGGAAGTGCGGCGCAGGTGGCCTCTGCCGGGAGCACCTCAAGTTTTAAGTTGGAAGTGTCACCACCCAAGCTTTAGCCCCATGATGGCAGAGGCGATAACACAGAGATGTGGGGGGAAGGAGTCAGCAGGAAGCAGGGACTGGAGGCAGGCAAGGAGCACAGAGCACCTGGCAGCCTCGGGGCATCTCACAGAGCCCACGGCCTGGCAGAGGCAACCTCACCTTCCTTCCAGGAAACAGCATGCTGCCATGAGCTTGCAGGCCACCTGCACAGCCACTCACAAGCGTGGCCATGGTGCCAGCACCCTCTGATGCTCTAGTACACCAGTATCCCACCAGCCTCCCAAGCTGGCTCCCTTCCCACCTTCAGGGCTGGCTTTCTGTCTCTTGCCACCAAGAGCCCAGAGGAGTAGGGAAAAAGAGAGGCTGGAGTCAGGACGGCTCCTCTCCCAAGGGAGCAGCTCTCTGCCACACCCCTCTCTCCTGAGGCACGGCCTCAGGTGCGATGGTCTGAGGTCCCTGTCAGGGCCTGGGAGGACCTGGCCCTTATCCGACTTGCCCTTTGACACAGGGGCTCTGGCAGAGAGGACAAGAGAGCAGCAGCTGGGAACGGCAGAAATCGGGAGGCAGCCTCTTCTGGAGGGATCCCAGCAGCCTGCAGCCATAGGACCCCAGGTTCCTTTCCAGGTGACTCCCAGTCACCCAGAGTCTCCAAGGAATAGACTGCGTGGACGCCCTCCCAATCCCTGAGCCATCATCCGGCCTGCAGACAGAGCCCCCTCTCAGTGGTGGGACACCCAGGGTTCCTACTTCCTCCTCCAGAGCCCAGGCCCTCCACCTGGTGAGGTGGAGGAAGAGGAAGGACGGGGAGTGGGCTCACGGTGCCCAGGGTAAACACAGTCGGGGTGGGGAAGAGAAGGAAGGCCAACCACATTCCGAGAGAGCCGCACAGACCTGGTGGAGGAGCCAGTGCTCAGCAGCAGCAGGTGGTACCCCATCCATGCCAGGAGGCCCTGTCGCTCGAATGCAGAGCACAGAGCGGCCTTCCTGAAGGGCAGCCCCAGGCCTGGCCTGAAATGGTGCTGCACTGTGCAGCCCAGCCACACGCTCCCCTGGGGTGATGCTGACACGCCTCCCTTCCAGAGGGGCGTTCTGCACCCCTCCCTGTGCACCTGGCTGGACCTGGGGCTGTGATGGAAGTCCACATGACTTACAAGGCAAAGCGGTTTCCACCTGGAGTCTTTTGAGACAGTCACTCCTAGAACCCAGCCGCCGTGCTGGGAGGAAGCCCAAGCCACAGAGAGGACATAGATAGTGTCCCTGCCAGCACCAACAGCCACACACTTTCCCCACCGGGGTTGGGCCCAGCCCAGCCACGCACCTATGGCACCACATGGGACCCCGAGAGAACACCACCAGTCGACCATCAGTGCCGTGGTAGGTAACAAGACAATACCTATAGTTCTGGGAAACGTTTTCAAGGAGTCATTTCACAGNTGAGCATCAGGATGGACGTCAGCTGAGCTGCCTTGGCCACAGGGGCAACAGTCTCCCCACTTCCTCTCCCACCGGCCTCGGCCCACTGAGTACCCTGCAAACTCAGGGTGGCACAGGGCGGGCACCTGCCCTGTCCTGCCCCCACGTTCCCCGAGGACTAGGGAACTGGCTCTGGCTAGACAAGCAGCAAGTTCCTTCCTGGCGGGTGTGGGGTTTCATGTCTTTGCTCCCCCATCACCAGGCCCCACTTACTCTTCTCACTGTGGCGGTTCAAGTGCAGGTGGCTGAGGTCAGCTTGGAACTGAGGCCCAACCATGATCTCCTGCAAAGGAAAAGGCCCGGAGGAGTTAGGGCAGACAGGAGGCCCGGCTGTGCGGTGCTGACGTGGGCGCTGAGCTGCCACACACACAGCCCCAGGCTGCCTCAGTCCGTGCGACCTGCCCGAAGACACCAAGCCCTGCAGCCCCAAGAGGCCTGGGTGTGGGTGTGACTGGCTGACTGCACCCACTCACCCATCTGTCCAGGGGAGGCAGTGGGGTCCAGAGCCCCCAGGACAGGACCCCAGGGCCACGGCAGCAGAAGCAGCACATTGCCAGGTCCCAAGTCCACAGTCAGTGGCCGGCTCACCTCTCGGGAGCTCCGCACTCAGCCTCCCCAGATGGGCAGAGGCCAGTGTGGAGTGTCCCATGGGGTAAGAGCCATGTACCTTCTTACACTTGTTGGCAGGAAGAGGGTCCTCCGTGTCTGATGAGGTGGAGGAGCCAGGCTCTTTGTCTGCGTCAGCCAGGAGGCAGGCTTTGGGGACAGGGGAGCAGGTGAGGCACATCCATGACACCAGGCAGCCCACCCAACCCAGGGCCCAGGGTCTCCACTGCCTGCAGCCTGTCCCCTATTCTCCAGCCACCTGACCCTCAAAGGCTGTGCCCCTCAAGAGACCCTGACCAGGTGACAGTGCACCATAGGAGTGGGAATAGGGATGCCAGAAGCCTCCCTCTGCTGGGGTTGCTAAGCCGCCAGGCCCTGAGCCCAGCACCTCATGCTGAAGGGCCTCACAGGCCACGGAGGCAGGCAGAACTGAGGAGAGGCAGACCTTAGGACACTGCCCAGACCTGATGGTCTTGCGGCTACAGGAACCAACACATTCCCTCCTTGTCCAAGGGAAGTTACTCAGCTCACAGGCCAGGGCAGGGAAGACGGGAACCCCAGGGCACCCCCAGGGTAACAGACACCTGTGCATGAGCTCCCTGACAGCAGCCCGGGGCCCCTCTGTCTGCACCACCAGAGCCTTGCCCCACCGGTCCAAGTAGAGGAATGGGTGGGACACCTACATTCACTCTGGCTAGGAAAAAGGTCGGAGGCCTCATGGGAGGTCACAGACGGGGTAAGGTCGTCGGCCGAGGACTGTGTCTCTTCCTCTTCTTCCCCTGAAAGCAAATCCTTCGCTATTTGTTCCTTTTAACAAGAAAGTAAAGAACATTTTTGCAGCGTGTTTTAACAATCTCAAAATAACATGACACTGATGGTACTAACGCAATGAGCCTCCCTCTGGGAGCACCCTGAGCCTCAGGTGGGGTGGTTCTTCCCACTCTGCAGATGGAGAGAACAGGCGCAGGCCAGGCCAGGCCAGCCAGGGATGCTGGCATCAACTGCATGCGGCCCCCCAGCCCATGCCCTGCATCTGGAAAGGGACACCGCCCACACCCAGAGCTGGGGCATCAGAGCCCGGTCACTTTCTCCACTTGGGCACCTGGTTGTCAGCTGCAGGAATCAAGCCCTCCCTCCTGACTCCCACCCTGGACTCGGTCAGGGGACTGAGTAACTGGCTCTGCTCACCTCCGTCCAGCTGCAGCTCTCCTGGCCAGTCTCCATCAGCCTCCCTCCAGCCTGTGGGCAGGGTGCCTCTGCCCCCGCCCCCTCCCTGGGCCTCTCTAAGCCTGAGGAGGAAAGCGGGGCCCCGAGGGGACGGACCAGCTGCACGCTCTGCTTGCCCTCCCCACTCCGTGTCTGCGGTCCCCGAGTCCTCCCAGCCATTCCGGGAAGAGCCCCTCACCTTGTCCAGGGTCATGTCCAGGAGGTGGGCTGCGGGGCCGCTGCCTTCACTCTCCCGCTCCGAGATGGGGTCTGAGGGCTCATAGCCGTACAGGGCGAGCAGCTCATCAAGGGGCATGTCCCTGCTCTGAAGGGAAGGCTCTGTCAGGCAAGGCTGCTCTGGGGGTCTGTTCCCCCTCCTGCAGCTGAGCCCTGTCACCCACCCAACGGGGACTGCTCAGTCACATCCCAGCTCTCCCCAGCCGGGCCCCAGGCCTGGTCCTTTATCCAGGGACTCCCTTGCAACCCAGGAATGGCACAGACGCAGGGCTGCACCTGAGCCCCAAGGGGCTCACCGTTTGCCTTAAGTCAGAGCCTGAAGGGTGCAGCCAGCACCGGCCTGGTGGTGCCGCAGCAGAAGGAGGTGCACACACCACCACCAGCAGTGCTACAGGAGAGTGCTCGCTGGACGTGGCTGTGGAATCCACGCCGCTCTGCTCTGCTTTCACAAAGCTTCCACTCGCTCTCTTTTGCGGTAGCAACGAAGTATACCCACAACTACCTGAGAAGGTTGTTAAACACGCTTCCCTTTTCCAAGAATGCATCTATGAGGCTGAATTTGTGTTCAACCAAAAGAATGCACCATGACAGATTAAGATCTGTTTAAAAGGCAACAGCTGGAGTCTCATATCTGCTTCTACACTTAAGAGATTTAGGCAAATTTCACTGTTTTCCCTAATGTTTTTTTTTGGTCCGGAGAACTGTTACTTTTTCACTTTCATAAACATGTATTATTTCCATTAATACTGGATTTACTGTATAAGCTACATAAACAAAGCTCCTTGAGATTCTCAATAATATTGAAGAGCATAAATGGGGCTCTGAGGCCACAAGTCTGCAAGGAGGGTGTTAAGCTAACTGCCCCATCTGGAGCCTCGGGCCTGAGGCAGGACCACACCAGGGCCAGGGTCTCAGCCAGGCGCTGCCCGGTGTTTGTCAGCCACGTGCAGGCAGTGCTGGTCACTGCAGCACCTGGGCAGCACAGACACTAATTGGCCAGATGAAGAACCGTGTAGCTTGCCCAGGTGGGCTCCACCCACACAGGGGACAGGGGACCGGCTCAGCCTGGTACCTGGGACATGAACTCCTTCTCCAGCTCCTCCTCGGACTTCTCTGGGCCTCCCTCGGCCTCCTCCCGCACGCCGTAGCTCTGCGACAGGATCTCTGCGAGGTGGAACTGGTGGTCCGCAGAGCCCATGGACACCACTGTGGAGGAGGCGCCAGCCCACATGAGCTCCTCAAGCCCGCCCCCATCATCGCTGAGCCTGCAGACGCCTGGGGCAGAGGAGCAACCGTGGCCCAGCTATCACTAGGGATGAGGCCTTAGCACACAGACGTGTGTGCATGCGTACATGTTCCGCTATGTGCGTGAGACTGTGTGCATGTGTACAGGCAAGCACACATGCATGCCAGTGGTCACCTCTGTCAGTACACATGTGGAACCTCCCAGAAGAATGACTCCTGACCAAACAGCACACACAGATTCTGGGAATCTGGCGGAAGTGTTCTCCTGGGGGGTTGCTTGCTCTTTCTGACCAGACACCTGCAAGGGTTTGGGAGAGACCAAGTGGACTACGAAGAAATGAGCACCCGTAAGCCAGGATGGGAAGAAGCAGACAGACTTGACAGAGCTGGGTCCCTGCCCGATCAGAGCAGCTCCTGAAATGCAGGTGTGATGCTGTGCGCCGACCTCTGTGAGTTTCCACAGGAATGCACAGGGCAGGGGGGACGCTCATGGGCAGCACGCCGTAGGCCCCCAGTGCCAATCCCTTTTCCTACCACTCAGTGTCAACTGTACAGCCCAGCAGGTGGTGGAGGGTACCACATTTTGGGGTTTCCCAACAGAACCAGGTTGTGTTCTCTGCTGTCTCTGCATGACCGGTCTTCAATAAGTTAAAGTGTACAAAAAACAAACAAAAAAGGACATAGCTAGGGAGCAGCGCCCCCAAACCAGAGAGCAGTGACTCCCCAAGGTGGGTGCAAAACTTGTGGCAACAGCGGGTGGAGCTGCAGGAGGCCAAACAGGAGGGGCAAGAGGCCAGCACAGAGTATGTGGAAGCCACCCAGGGATGGTGCCCACGCAGCACCAAAGCGCCCAGTTTTCCTTCAGCAAGTTACCCAGCCCACAGTCCTGACTAACGTGCCTGTTGGGCGAGGCAAAACCGGCCTTGAGGGAGGAGTTCTGATCTCCTCCTGGACTTCCCAGCCTCCGCTAGAGAAGGGGGAAACCCACATACCCCTGCCCTGGACTCTGGGAGCCGGTGCACAGTCTCTGGCTCTCCCAGGTGGTGGAGATTCTGTCTCTCACAATCACTTAGACCCTGGCAGCCTTGGGCAGGAGGAAGGGATGGGCAGGTACCTGCTGTCTGCACGCTGGGCTGCCCGGGCCCCAGATGGTGAGTGAGACAGGTGGCCACGCCAGGACTCCGCCTCTCCAGTGAGGAGGCCTGTGAAGGAAGACAGGCAGTGAGCTCACCTGGCCCAGACCTGCTGGCAGACATGGGGGCAAGGCACCTAAGAGTAGGTACAGGTCAGAGCCTGGCTCCCCAGCGACCTTGGGAAGTTGCCTCATCTGGAGGAATCTCAGTTGCTTCCAGGCAGAAACGGACAGATTCCAAAAATCACATGGAAACGCAAGGAACCCGGATTACCCAAATAATCTTGTAATAGAAGAATACATCCTTATTTGAAAATTACTACAAAGCTCAGTAATCAAAACAGTGTGGCACTGACACAGAAGGCTAGACATTTAGACCTGGAACAGATTTGAGAATACAGATATAAAACCACACATTCATAGCCAACTGAATTCTGACTAAAGTGACAAAATAATTCAACGGAGAATCGTCAGTCAACACATAATGCTGGGACACCTGCACACCCAACACCACAGACAGCTTAACTCAGCATGGATGGAAGGCCTCAAACATGAGCTAAAGCTATACAACTCACAGAAAACCGGGATAAACCTTCATTACCTTGGACTGGCTAATGGCTTCTCAGGTAAGACTCCAAAAGCATACACAACAAGAAAAAAAAGATACACTGGACTCATCAAAGTAAAAAACTTCTGTCCTTCAAAGAACATTATCAAGATACTGAAAAGATAACTCACAGAATGGGAAACAATATTTGCGAATTATATGACAGGAAAGGGACTTGTACCTAGAATATAGAAAAAAAGTTCTTACTACTCAATAAAAAGATAAACAACCCAATTTAGAAATGGACAAAGATTCTAAATAGATATTTTCCCAAAGAGATACACAAACGGCCAATAAGCACAGGAAAAAATACTCAACATGAGGGGAAAGCAAGTCAAAACCACAGTAAGACACCCCTTCATCAACACAGAAAGGCTATGATTAGGGGCAGATCACACAAGGGGCACCTCACAGAACCAAGCGCCGGCAGAATGCAGACACCCAGGCACAGACGTCGGCTGGAGCTCCAGCTTTGGAAGACAGTCCAGCAGCTCCTCCAAAAGTTAGACGGTGTCAGCACATGACCCAGCCATTTCACTCCTGGGTATATGTGGAAGGGGTTCTGATTACGCCACCCCAAAACACACTGCTCCAACATATGGAGCTGAAGGCAACTAGGGAAAGAAGACACAGGATGAGCTCTGCCCCCAGGAGCTTCAGAGCAGAACATAAACCCCTGCAAGGGTGCCTCCCCCTTCCCGGACCAAGAAGGTATGGCCACCTCACCCCTGTAGACGAGATGGCACCCAAATCAGCACAAACAGACCTTACCAACTGGCTTGATCTCCCACTAGCTCCCCAGGGATCTCCTCCCCATGACCTGTTGCCCTAAACAACCCACAGGCCTCCCGGGCCAGTCACTCCTCTAGATTTACTGTCCTTTCATTAAGATGCTGTAGAAGCCCAAGCCCTGACCACCCTTTGGGTCCCTCATGGCCAAGGGCTCCTGGGTACTGTGCATCAGCTGCTCGTCTCTCTCATTAGTCTGTCTTTTGTCATCTAAATCACAGGGCCCCAGCTGAAGACCCCAGGACAGAAGGTGCAAAGTCAGGCTTCACCTCCCCAACAATACCCAACAGGAAAGAAAACATACCCCTACACTGAAACTGAATGTTGAGTGTTCATATGATTACGCACAATATCCAAATGTGGGAGGACCTGAGTGTTTGTCAGCTGACGAACAGACAAACCAAAATTTAAAAAATTGGATGGTATTCAGCCAAAAAAAAAGGAATGGGGCCCTGCCAAGCACTCCACGTGGACGGGCCCCGAACCCACCGTGGTCAGTGAGCACGGCCAGACCCAGAAGGCCACACAGAGTGTGACCCATTTCTGTGACACATCCCCAACAGGCGGATCCACAGACAGAGAGTGGGCCTAGGAGTACAAGGGGCTGGGTAGGGACAGGGGGTGACTAAGAAGTGCAAGGCTTCTTTGGGGGTGATGGAAGAAGCTAAAATCACTGGTGACGGTAACACAACTATGAATATACCAGCCATCACTGAATTGTGCATATTAAAATTAAAATAAATGCATTGTATGGTATGTGAATCCTACCCCAGTAAAGCTGCTTGCAAAAAAAAAGAATATTTAATGAAGTTTAACAACTTAGAAACTAGTTTGCTATGAATTTCCCCACTGACTTTCTCACTGGGTCCTCAAGAAGACCTGACAAGGTTGTGGAATCATCCTCTTAATGAGAAATAAGGGCCTCAAAGCTCAGAGAGGTCAAGTCATTACCAAAGTCCACACAGCAACTTAGGTGATATAACCACAGGACAGAAGGTGCAAAGTCAGGCTTCACCTCCTGGAGACGAGATGGCACCCGAACCTTCACAAACAGACCTCACCAACTAGCCTGATCTCCCAGTAGCTCCCCAGGGATCTCCTCCCCATGACCTGTTGCCCTTAACAACCCACAGGCCTCCCGGGCCAGTCACAAACTCAGGCTGTGTGACTCAGAGCCCCTTTACAGACCCACCGCTGCATGGAGCATAAATGATGGTACAGGAATGTACAGTACAGCCATGAGCACTGGAGTAACGCAGGCAGAAGCTGGCAAGGACCAGAGATGAGAAGCATGAAGCCCACTGGGGAAAGGGCCCCATGTTCCCTGGGAGGAAGTGCGGCGCAGGTGGCCTCTGCCGGGAGCACCTCAAGTTTTAAGTTGGAAGTGTCACCACCCAAGCTTTAGCCCCATGATGGCAGAGGCGATAACACAGAGATGTGGGGGGAAGGAGTCAGCAGGAAGCAGGGACTGGAGGCAGGCAAGGAGCACAGAGCACCTGGCAGCCTCGGGGCATCTCACAGAGCCCACGGCCTGGCAGAGGCAACCTCACCTTCCTTCCAGGAAACAGCATGCTGCCATGAGCTTGCAGGCCACCTGCACAGCCACTCACAAGCGTGGCCATGGTGCCAGCACCCTCTGATGCTCTAGTACACCAGTATCCCACCAGCCTCCCAAGCTGGCTCCCTTCCCACCTTCAGGGCTGGCTTTCTGTCTCTTGCCACCAAGAGCCCAGAGGAGTAGGGAAAAAGAGAGGCTGGAGTCAGGACGGCTCCTCTCCCAAGGGAGCAGCTCTCTGCCACACCCCTCTCTCCTGAGGCACGGCCTCAGGTGCGATGGTCTGAGGTCCCTGTCAGGGCCTGGGAGGACCTGGCCCTTATCCGACTTGCCCTTTGACACAGGGGCTCTGGCAGAGAGGACAAGAGAGCAGCAGCTGGGAACGGCAGAAATCGGGAGGCAGCCTCTTCTGGAGGGATCCCAGCAGCCTGCAGCCATAGGACCCCAGGTTCCTTTCCAGGTGACTCCCAGTCACCCAGAGTCTCCAAGGAATAGACTGCGTGGACGCCCTCCCAATCCCTGAGCCATCATCCGGCCTGCAGACAGAGCCCCCTCTCAGTGGTGGGACACCCAGGGTTCCTACTTCCTCCTCCAGAGCCCAGGCCCTCCACCTGGTGAGGTGGAGGAAGAGGAAGGACGGGGAGTGGGCTCACGGTGCCCAGGGTAAACACAGTCGGGGTGGGGAAGAGAAGGAAGGCCAACCACATTCCGAGAGAGCCGCACAGACCTGGTGGAGGAGCCAGTGCTCAGCAGCAGCAGGTGGTACCCCATCCATGCCAGGAGGCCCTGTCGCTCGAATGCAGAGCACAGAGCGGCCTTCCTGAAGGGCAGCCCCAGGCCTGGCCTGAAATGGTGCTGCACTGTGCAGCCCAGCCACACGCTCCCCTGGGGTGATGCTGACACGCCTCCCTTCCAGAGGGGCGTTCTGCACCCCTCCCTGTGCACCTGGCTGGACCTGGGGCTGTGATGGAAGTCCACATGACTTACAAGGCAAAGCGGTTTCCACCTGGAGTCTTTTGAGACAGTCACTCCTAGAACCCAGCCGCCGTGCTGGGAGGAAGCCCAAGCCACAGAGAGGACATAGATAGTGTCCCTGCCAGCACCAACAGCCACACACTTTCCCCACCGGGGTTGGGCCCAGCCCAGCCACGCACCTATGGCACCACATGGGACCCCGAGAGAACACCACCAGTCGACCATCAGTGCCGTGGTAGGTAACAAGACAATACCTATAGTTCTGGGAAACGTTTTCAAGGAGTCATTTCACAGTACTAGTTAACCAAGCACTTCCCTCCACCCAGCTCAGGGGTCCATCTCCACTGAATGCCCCTGCATGGCAGGCCTCCACCCCATCGTGTCCACCGAGCACCTACTGAGAGGGCACAGCAGCTGGGCCTGGGTGCGCTGCAGTCAGCCCAGAAACAGGTTCCACCCGTCTCCACCCACACGAGCTACCAGTCTAGTTGGGACACAGAAAACAGACATGTGGGCATGCACAGTAGTGAGGAGATGAGGGGAGATAGGCAGGAGGGAAACAGTGCAATCCGGGAGGACCTCCGAGGTCGCCTCAGGATGGGGCCTGCTGGGTGATGGAAGCACCATGGCAACCGAGTCCCTCGAAGGAAGCAGAGGACACAAAGGAATCCGCAGGGAGCACAGGGGCCAGAGTTGGGGCGGGGTAGATCCTCAGGGACCACACCACTGGGCGGGGGTCATGGAAGGAGACACACTTTATCCTAGTGACAGCAAACAGCCAAGGAGACTTCAAACACAAGATGCAGATGGTGTACTTAGGTTTTTCAAAGATAAATCTGCTATCAGTGAGAAAAACAGCATGAAGAACCCCATCTCCTCTCATGATGCTCATGGCTGCTGAGGTGACACCAAAACCCAGGCAGCCGACGCGGGGAGCAGCCTACCCCTGGCTTACAAACCCCCACGTCCATCTGTTAGCTCGCTTTATTTGGTAAGATTCGGCTTCTCTGTACGAGATTTTGGGAGACTTTTTGGCTCTTCCCATTTCAAAGATAAGGAAACCAATGCTCTGAGGTGCTCAGTGACCTGCCTGATGTCACACGGAACAGGTCTCACTGGAACCTCTGGGGGGATGCAACAGGTCTGGCCACGGCTCACCATGTGCGCATCTGCACACTTGTTGATCCTTTACTGGCCAGCCTCTCTGACCAGACTCTACACCCTTTAGCACAGGCACACTCACAGCCAGACCCTCAGGGCCTCACATGGAGCCAGGCACGTAGGGGACCTCACACACAGGGTTTCTCCAAGCAAACAAACTCAGATTCACTGAACTGAGTACCACCTCAAACTGTAAACAGGGGCACCCAGGGCACTGGCTGCCATAAGGGTTCCAGGGGCTTGGCACTGGGCAGGCAGAGTCAGTGGCCAAACCCAGCAGGTCCTAGAGGAGGCTGACTGGGGAGTCTGTCCAAGACACCCCCAACACACAGCTCCCTGCCAGGCCAAGAATGCTGCCCAAATGGCCCCTGGTGCCCTGGAAAAACGCCACCCCTGCCCCTGAGCCAGGCACACACAAAAACACACACATTTGACCACCACATCCCTGCTGAGCCATCGGGAGACCTGGCTGCTGCCTCTGACCCTGGAGGCCAGCCACTGCCCCCATGAGACCTCAGTCCCCTAAATGCTCCCTAAGGAAGAACTCTCTAAGAACCAGCTACTGAGGTCTGTCCCTGCACCCTGACGCCCACACCTCTTCAGCACAAATGCAGGGCCTGTCACTGCCCCTGAGGTCACTGGTGGGAAAGACCTGACAGTTCTGCCCTAGACAACACCTCCCCATGTTGTGCTAAGACATGAACACCAATGTGGCCCCATGACCAGGCCAAACATCCCATAAACCTGCCGTGTTTCATTGGGTGGCACCTCCTCCCCTCTGGCCCTCAGCGTCCCCCCACTTGATGAAGGGCCACTTGCTGAGTCTGTGGACTTGTTTGGTGTCGGCTGTAACTTCTGCATCCCCAGACTGAACCAGCATGTTCCCAACAGGTGCATTATCTCATTTCATCCTCACTAGGGCCCTGAAGGATGAGCACAAGTCCCACTGTCTTACCCAACATTCCAAAGTAAAAAAAAAGTCAGTTTCTCATCCCTGCTTTGACCTGACAGGAAACTCTGGTGTCTTTTTATCCCAGTCGGTCCTAGGTGAGTTTGATCAAGCATCACAGCTCCAAACCCCACAGATCCTCAAATGGGGTCAACTCCTACTGCCCACATATATCTGGCCCCTTTGGGCCTGTTCGGAAAGAGAAAGGAGACCCCAAGAAGCAAGTTCAAGCCGCCGATCAAGGCTGGTCTTACTGTCTGCGCCGGGGCAGCGCAGGACGGGCCCCCGGTCGGAGTTCGAATCACGCCCCGGACCCGGCGGGAGGGCGACTCGCGGTGCCCAGGCCCCGGAGCTCGAGGGCGGGCCGCGCTGCTGAGTCCCACCCGGGTACCGAAGCGGCTCGGCCGAGAGCGCACTCGGCAAAGTTGGCAATGCAGGGGAGGGCGGCTGCATGCCGCCGGGCCGGGAGACCCGGGAACAGGGAACACCGGGCGCGGGCCAGGAACCGGGCCGACAACTGGGCGCGCCTCCCTGCTCACCCGCCCGCCCCTCCCACTCCGTGCCCCCAACCCCCTGCGCCCGCACATGCGCGTTGCAGCCCGCGATGTGGCAGCCGGTGGGGGGGCCCGGGGGCGGCTGCCGACGGAGCCCCGCGCAAGTCGGGTTTCGACGGGCGCGGCGCACCGGGCCCGGCCTCAGAGCCGCAGGGCAGGGTCTCGGCGCCCGGGACCGCGACGGGGCCGAGGTCCGGTGGCGGGGGCGCGGGCGCACAGGGGCGGGGGGACCTGCTCCCCCGGCCAGCTCACTCACCTCCGCCATGGCCGTATGTGCGCGGGAGGCGGTGGCCGCTCGGGGATCCCCGGATGCGAGGTCGCGCGCTCATTGGCTGCTGCGTCCTGGAAGGCGGGAGGACAGGGGCGGGGCCTGAGGGGGCGGGGCGGGAGCGGGCTGTGCGTAGTAGGTGCGCAGACGAGATGCGCGGAGGTGGTTCGCGCAAAGGATGCGCGGACCGAATGCAAGCCCGGCGATGCGCAGTAGAAGGACGCGGACGGCGGTGCACAGACTGGGTACGCAGACCGGGTGCATGGACGGAATGTGAGGACCGGGGTGCGCACGGGAAGGTGAGGGCGTGGGGAGTGTGTCTGGGGTTTCGTCTGGATGGTGGCCTGGGAGGTGGGGGTGCCAGTAATAAAAAAGAATTCCTGATGCCCACACATGCGAAGGGAACAGATCCCGTCTTCTACATTAAAACTGGGGATAATACTATTGAGCCGCAAGTTATATAGATGAGGAAACCGAGGCCCGCAGGGCTAGGCTGCCCGATGGCGCATGAGGAGCTGGGAACGCGCGTGGGGCAGGTCCTTCCAGAGACCCCGCACTCGTGCGTCGGTGCCCTGACGAGCTGGGGACAGACCGCCCCTCTTGAGGCTCTGAGGTCCGTGGTCATTTGTAGTTCATGGATTAGATATTGAGGCGGGTCTGCACGAGTCTGACTGTGGCATCCCCATCCACAGGGTACCTCCCGGTTCACCAACCTCCCAGAACAGTCATAGCTGCATAGAAGGGCTCATCGGGGACTCTGGGCCTGGGGTGGAAGGGGGTGACTGCAAAGCAAAGCCAGGGACTCTTGGGGAGACATCGATGTCATAATCCTCATTGCAGTGATGCCAGCACAACTTTGTGCTCGTGTCAACACTGGTAAAGCCATACCCAAGATGGCGAAAATGTTACCGTCTACTGTATCTCAATAAAGCCAAGCACATTTGCGACATGCAGCATGTAATCACATGCTTTATTAACTCATCAAATGACAAGATAGTTTAAATAAAATAAATTTTATTTTTTAAAGATATGTTAGTGTGAAGCTTGTTTTTTCTTGGCTTGAATAAGAACATTAAAATGTGAGGTGATCTTTGACAAGAGAACATGCATATCATTTTGGATATTTGACTTAAGATTTTGGTTCTCTTTAGTTTTGAAGGTTACTAAGGGTGAAAACCCCAACTGAACTTCCCCTTTTTTGTATTAATACCAGCTACAGTGCAGTCTGCCTCGTCAAGTCAACCTTTATGATCTCCAATCTGCATTAGTTTCCTCTTGCTGCTGTCACAAATCCAGTTGCTAAAAACAACACACATTATCTGGAGTCAAGCAGTTTCACTGGGTGGAAATCAAGGCGTCAGCAGAGCCTGTGCCCTCTGAGGGGTGAATGTGCTTCCATCCAGAGCTGCACCCCATCTTGACGGCCAGAGCACATCTTGCTTTGGTGGTATAGTACCCTCTTCAGAGGCCAAATTTCCCCCTGCCTCCCTCTTACAGGGGCAGAGACCCACCCACGTATTCCAGTATGTTCTTTCTCAAAATCTTTAATCCCATCTTCAAAGTCCCTTTTGCCATATAAATTAGCACATTCAGAGATTTCCAGAACTGGGACATGGACATCTTTGAGGCTGTCACTCTGTGGACTGCATAATCCAGTCTGCCTGATTGAACAGGCATTGGAGTCTTGGTCGGTCCACTCGTGTTCCTCCTTACGACTGCCTCCTCCAAGGCCTTCCAGCTGCTCCCACTACACTCACCAGAACAACAGGGTCAGCAATTCCATCTGTTCATTCAACAAGTCATCGTCTCCCTCCAGCCTTCAGGAAACATTCACTCCATCATTGCCACATGCTCCAAGTTAGGGGCCCATCCTCCCCAATGTCACACCACTGAATCATTCAAGGGTATGAGGATGGGGTATCTTTTTAACCCTTTTCTTCTGAATACCTATCTAGATCTGTACCCACAACTAGTCAGTAAGTGTCTCCCTTAAGGTATTGAATTAATTCATTTCCTTGGAGTGCTTAAAGTCTGGTAATAAGTCTGGATTCTGACTCATGGCTCGGGACCTAACATTTGGTAGGCTCTGAGGAGCTGGCCTACCACAGTCAGCATGCCACAGCTTCTGGACAAGTGGTCTGGAAGCAGACCAGCGAGAGCCAGCGAAATACAAGGCTTTGTCTGGGTTTCAGAGACAGAAAGGATATCTCTCCTGTGGTGGTCAGCTGCATAACCACTCCCAAAGACACCCACATTCCAGTGCAGGACCTGAGGCCGTGTCCCCTCCTGTGGCAGAGGGATTCTGCAGAGGAATCAGTCAAGGCCCCTGAAATGGGGGTGACACTGAGTTCCCAGGGGACCAGGGTCCTCACAAGGGTCCCTATGAGGGGAGCAGGGGGGCAAGGTCAGAGAGACAGGAAGACGCTGCCCTGCCAGCCATGCAGACTGAGGAGGGGACCCGAGCCGAGGCAGCAGCGCCTCTAGGAGCTGGAAGAGGGGGACATGGTTCTCCCGGGGCCCCCGGAGGAGCCAGCCCTGCCCACCTGGGTGTAGCCCCATGAGACCCACGTCAGACTCATGACCTCCAGAGCTGTCAAATGTGTATTGTTTTAAGCCGCCCTGTTTTTGCTGATTTGTTACAACCACAACACGCAATGGACATTAGCTGATTTTATTAGGAGGTCATTGAGTTTGAGGTGCTGTGGACACCCAGGGCAGAATTGGACATAAGGGATTCAGAAGGAAACTTTTGAAGCCTGACATCAGAGAAGTTCGAGATGACAGGTGAAAGTGACTTGGAAAATAAGAGGGCTGTACAAATCACAGGTCGGATGCAAACATAAATATTTTCCTCATGGTCCTTTCGGCCTTCCAGCCTGCCCTCCCTCCTCCAGTCCACAATGCTCAGAGCCAGCCACACACACAGGTTTAGGATGCACTTGGGTGTTTACTGGGAACAGGGTCTCCGAGGCCAGCCTGGTCCACTCACACTTTTTTGGTGATGCTCTTGGGAGTGGCGAGCTCATAGAGGCGAGGGGATGCCCGAGCTACCAGAGCTGCCGGGGGAATATGGTAGGGGTCGTAGCCCTCGTTGACGTCCTTACGCACTTTGGGCTTGGCCAGGGAGATGATCCGGGGACTGGCCACTGCCTTCTTGGTGACGTCCAGCACCTCCCAGCGTGGGTCTCGGTCGGGGACGCACTTGTCCATCCGGGCTTTGGGCACTGCAGAGAGCAGGATAGAGGGACGGCATCACGCGCTGGCACCTTGGCCGTGTGGCCCCTCCACCCTGCAGAGACCAACCCTCTAGGACAAAGTCCCCACATTCAGTGTCTTTTCCAGCAACAGAAGAATCTGGTCCATCCACACACGGACACACAACCACAAACAGGGGTGAAGCCCTGACGTGTGCTCCTGGCATGTGCACAGGCCCTGAACACATGGTGCTCAGTGAGACGCCGGACACAGAAGGCCTCACAATGTGGCCCTATTTCTGCGACACATCCACAACATGAGAATCCACAGAACATGGGCTCGTGGGTGCCGGAGGCTGGAAAGGGGTGGGGGTTTCTCTTTGGGGAAATAAAAAGTGTTCCAACTGATGGGTGCACAATGTGTGATTGTCCTAGGAGAACTACTGAATTGTACACTACTATTTTATTTCTTCTTGAGCTATGATTGTACACTTTAGGGGGGGTGAATTGTAAAGAACAATATATTTCAAATGACCGCATGCCCCAGACGGGGGACCCAGGGGCCAGCCAAGGGTGCCCCAAGGGCTCAGTTCCACTCCTTCCTCCCCCTCTCTGCCCTCAGTGGGGAGGGGCAGCAGTGGCTGGTGTGGGGGGCATTTGCTCTCCCCGGCTGCTATTCAGAGTGGCTGAGGACAGCCCCAGGCACGCAGGCCCTTTCGGGGCTCAGCCTCGGCTGCTTGTCTGAGGCCGTCCCGCCACACCCTTCTGGGCTCCTGCCTTTGCTCACTGCCCAGTGAGCCTGTGGGTACCTCCCCAGGAGCACAGCTTTCTGCATTGGCCCATGTGCCCCCATCAGCCCTGTGTGACTATGAGCACCTGATAGGCTGGGATTTACTTTATTATTTTAATGCCATCACTTTAATTTCACTGAAGTACCACACGTGGCCAGTGGCTGCAGTCGTGGCCAGACAGCACTCAAGCACAGAGGCCTGTGGCTCAGCCAGGCTACCTCTTCTCACTTCCCAGAGCCCTGAGAACCCTTTCACCTGGTCTGTACCTCCTCACTACCTCTCCACCACCCTCTCCTTTGCTGTGAGCTTCAGCACAGGGCCAGCTGGGGACTGCAAAGAAAGTGCCCAACCACCCCTTGAGAGTATCGGAGCCCTCAGCTTTCGGGGTCCTTTCCGCCCCCTTTGCTCAGAGCCTCTGTGCAAAGGGAAAAGGAATGTTCCTTTCTCAGCAGACAAACCCTGGCTCGGGAGAGGCCAGGGTGGAAGGGCAGGTGGGCACAGCCCACCGGGGGCCTACGGCTGGTCAAGGCCAGCACACTGGGCTGGAGCTTGCTGGGCAGATAGCCTGCACAGGGACTTGCCCAAAGTGATGGGGTCTAAGTGGCCCATAGGGGCTGGGAGGACCGTGCCCAGAGCTCCTGTGAGCTCTGTTGGTCACACCTTAACCGTGGTGACACTCTACTGCCACACAGCACATGTGGACTAACTCCCATCCCACAGAGTTCTGTGCACAGGATTTCACTTTTACATACTGGTCACAACCATTAGCGGGTAGAAATGTGCTGTTTGAAAGATACAACCTTACGCCAGTCTTACACACACATGTGTGCACAGGTGTATATGTACATGTACATCTGAAACATGGATGAATACATGCATGCATGTATGTACAAATGCACATGCATTTCTATCCCAGATATGTGTCTAATGCAGGGGAGGGCATGATGGGAATGGATAAATGACAAATAAACAGACATGGGCAAAAGGTCCCATAGGCACAGTTCAGAGCAGAGAGACAACCGGGAAGAAGGTACTTTGCAACGTGCTCAGCAAAGTACCCATGATCATCTTGCATACAGGGCAGCTCCGAATCCATGACCAGAGACGAATGGGAAATAGGAACTGGGGAATGATGCAGCAGAGAGAACCAAAATGGCCGGTTAAGCTCTCTGGCAATGATGTGGGTACACAGCAAATTTTTCAAAGCCCCTGACATCATGGGCTGGCACATAACAAGCGATAAACACAAATGACACACGGAAACAAATCCTGTCACAGGGCAACAGGAGCTATGGAGAACAGCGTAAGGGGGCTCCCAAGTGTGCGAGGTAGGCAGGGCTTCTGGGGTTAAATAGAGCGCTTGAGGGGCCTGGGCAGAGGGCAGACGGGAGTCAGACCCTAGGGAGGCCGAGTGAGCCCTGCAGGTGTCCGGAGAAAGTGAGGCCTATGGGAAGGCCCTGTGCAGCAGAGCCGGGTGGAGAGACAGGGAAGCCAGGGGGCAGATCACAGGGACTTGTGGGCATCACCGAGCAAGGCCTCACTGAGAGTCCTGGGATGGCTGGGAGCCAGGAAGGGCACAATCCAACTTAAATCTAGCAAGACACCTCTACCTGCAGTGGGGAGTGGGCAGGGGTGGTGTGGGGACCGGGGTGCGGGATGCAGCTCTGGTCCAGGAGCGATGGCAGGCACGGAGGCCAGGGGTGTAGGGCCCAGCTGTGCGCAGACTCCTGGCGTGCTCGGAAGGCAGAGGCCAAGGAGTCCTCAGCACACTGGATGTGGGGTGTGTGAGCCATGGGGACACACCCCGAGCGCCTGGAAGGAAGGACGCTTGCATGCATCTGTGGGTCTGTGAGTGCACACCCCGTGCAAACACAGCGATCTGCATCGTTCTGGTGGTGGGACTCCTTTATTCACGCTCTTCTGCCTTTCCAAATTCCCTCCAATGATATCTCTTCTGTCCCTGAGGAAATGAGGGATCCGGCTCTGAAGGACGGGAAGAGGGGCCTCCTCCACTGCACAGCTGCCCTCGCACCTCAGCCTGGCTCTCCGGTCTCGAGCCCAGCTTTCTCCCGTGCACCTACATGGCCTGCTTGGAGACCCCCTCCTACAACACCCTCTGCTTGAGGGCCACAGCCCCTCCATTTTCTGATTTTCTTCCCTGCGGAGAGCAGACCCTCAGCCAGCTCCCCGGGGACGCTGCGAGGGCCATGCTGTGAATGGTCCACAGGGAATTAGACACCTGCTCAGCATTTAGGGAAGAGATGAGGGAAGAGGGAACCACAAATCCGGCAGAGGCCTAAAATCCAAGTCTTCCAGCATCCCCCCCTACACCCCACTGGCCTCTGTCCAGGGGAAGAACAGCACAGGAGCCGAACCCCAGGGGCCCTGCTTACTGGCCAATTGAAGCAGGCGGCTGTAGTCTGACACGTGCGGTTTGGGTTTCGGCATGGGGTCCCACTCCTCCAACAGGGTGGCTGGGGCCCTGGGCTTTGCCAGCCAGAGGATCCTCGGACTGGGAATGGCCATTTGGGCCGCCCTGGATACCTGACCCACCTGGAAACAGAGTTGGAGGGTAGGAGTAAAACCATCTGTGATTCTTTATAGGCCCTGGATCAGAAAGACCCCACAAGCAAAACAAAATGATATAAGACAGACTGGGAAGAGGTTAGTTTGCAGTGTGTTCAGCAAAGGGTTAGTAGCCATCGTATATACAGGGCTTCTCTAAATCAGTGACTGAAAAAAAACAATAGGCAAATCACGTAGGAGAGCAAACCCAAGTGGAGAAAGTTATCGAGCCCTGGCAAGAACGCAGGAGGAGAGGAATCCTCAGGCAGGGCCGGCAGGAGAGTACATTAGCCTGAGCACTTTGGAGAGCAGTTTGTCCACGTCGGTAAAGTTCAGCACATGCCCATTGAAGACTGCTGTATAAAAGGACCACACGGAAATGGGCACAGCAATGGTTCCAGAAGCTTGGTTGTAGTGGCAACTTGAAAATGACCTAGCTGCCCATCGATAAGGCCCTGGTAATCCAATCGCAGTTTACTCACAAGACAGGATGCAATCCAGCAGGTAAAACATTGTGTCTTTATAAATCAGCATGCCGTGCTCCAGAAAATAAATGTTGAGGGGGAAAGCAGGAAAGATAAGATAACACACGTGTCTATTAAAAACACAAAACACCATGACTGCAGTGCATGGGTCTGCAAGTGGAATAAGGTATAAAATGATGTACTGAGGCAGAGTTGGCTGAGGGGGAGGACAGGGAGAGAAGTCCTGGCAGGTGCTCTGCCAAGGAACCTGACACGCGTGCTCCACAGACTGCCTCTTGCATTTTCCAGGGAACTCAGACACAACCAGAGGATCTGCTCGGAGGTCTCGCCCACCCAGAGGCAGCGCCCAGAGGGACTGTTAGCTGACGTGAACACTGTCTGCCCTCCCCCCACAAAAGTGCAAGCAGCATCTACTCTCCTCAGCTCCCTCTTGCAGGTACATCTCCTTAACCGTGTCTCCTTGACTCCGCCCACCAGCTGGCTCCCTGTGTGTGCAAACAATCTTCCTGCAAAAGAGAGTGGGCAGAACAACCAACATCTGAAAGTCTGTGCCTTTGACAAGTGGAAGACTAGCTGGCCATTCCTGCAGCGTCTGCAGGGGGATGGAAGAAGAAGGGCCGCTCCACCCCCTCCTTCCTCTCCCTCCCTCTTTTCTCCTCCTCCCTCCTTCCATCATCTCTGGTCTCTCTCCCTTCCTCTTCCCCAGTCCTCCTTGTGGTGGCCTCCAGGCTCAGGCCTCCTGCTACGGTGGAGAGAACAGGCCTGTCCTGTTTCAAGGTGCCCCCATCCCCCAGGGGCCCACGGGCAGAGAATACTCAGTAAGTCATGTACCAGCAGTCCTGACCATCAGTGCGGGCCCTTCACGGGGCAAGGCAAGCTCTGGAATAAGGCCGCAACAAGCAGGAAAGGTGGCCTCTGTCCTCAGGGTCTCACGGGTGGCTGGAAGAATCAAGTCCACCCGGACCCTGTGCTAGGGGCTGGGAGGAGCACAGGGCACGTGGGCATGCAGGGGGCTGGAGCTGGGGTTCCCACAAGCCAGAGAAAACAGGAGCACACAGGAGCTGGATGCACATGGGAGGGTGTCCTAGGTGGAGGGGACTGCATGAAAAAGGGTGTCTAGGTACCCGCATTTACCCAAAAAGGCGGGTACCGGGAGGAGGAGAGGTCAAGAGGGACCAAATCCTGCTGCGCCTTGAATCTCAGGCTTGAATCTGGACTTCCTGGGGTCACTGGGGAGCCTAGAGGGTCTTGGAGCACAGAAGGGACAATGCTGAAGCCCAGGAGCACACTGGCGCAGCTCCCGGTAAGAGGTGGGACTGGCAAAGGGACAGTGCGGGTGCTGTCCTCCGGGCCCTGGTCCAACCAGACTGGCCATAAAAACTCTTTCCTGGGGCAGCTGGGGAAACTGAACATGGCCCGAGCATTCCGACATCAGGACATTAGTGTTCAGTCTTTTACTGTGACCATCACATTGAGGTTGCTCTTGAATGTCCTTGTGTGTCCGGAGGACACCCCGTGGTGGGTTTCTGCTCAGGGCTGGTGCAGATGCAAAATGGTGCCGCCCCTTTGGAAAACCATTTGACCGTTTCTTACGGAGACATAGCCTTGCCCCAGCAACCCCACTTCCAGATCTGCGCCCTAATGATATGGAAACATATCCCCCACAAAACCCTGCACACAAAATGTTCATAGCAGCTTTTTTTGTAATAGCCAAGAACTAGGAACAACCCAAATGTTGCTCAATGGGTGGGCAGGTGGATAAGCAATTTGTGGTCCCGCAGGAAAGAATGGGACTCAGTACTATGGAATGAGCTGCTGATGCCTGCAGGAATCCAGACAGTTACCTAAACCCCAGGCTGAGGCCCCACAGGACGTCCTGGGGGAGGGAGACTGTGTGGCGGAGAAGAGGTCACGTCAGGCCTGAGCAGGAGGGGACCCTTCAACCCGACAACAGATAAGGGTCTACTTGGGCATGGACACCACTTCCTTGTAATCTCGGACACCAGATTGCTTAAGGCCCAGCGTGAGCAGAGAGAGAGCGCAGGGCTCCCCCTGAGCTGGCTTCAGACTGAAGCTTTTCCTGCACAGATCCCAGTGGGTGGCACTCGCTGCCCTGGAACTTCCTGCCTCCCACCATCTGGGCAGGCAGTGCAGAGGACAGCAGGGCACCTACCTCAGACATGTTCATGCTCCACATGTTATTCCGCACCCTCGGAGTGGCCAGTTCCCGCACACGCCTGGATGCTTGGTATTTCAAGGTGGGTCGAGCGATGGGCCAAATGGGGGAGGTCCTAGGGGACATGCACATTTAAAACACCAGTGAGGTCCAGGGGGAGGGGTCTTCGTGCTTCTGTGTGTCTCGCCTCTTTTCTCGGCCTCTGACTCTGGGGACCAGGGAGCACCTGGGAGAGTGGAGGTTCTGGAAACACCTCCCAGAAGGAATTCCCACAAGCGTCCCTAACAGAAGCGCCTCCAGTCCTCCAGAGGCCCCCTCCCAGGTCAGTGCACCGCAGCCCTTCATGCCCGAAGAGGGCACTTCTTCTGTCCCCTCAGTGGGGACAGCCCCCCAGGCCATCCTCCCCTTGACCCGTCATCAGGGCTGGGCCAGGATCAGGATGAAACGGATAAAGCATGTCTGGCAGTTGCCACAGAAAGTTGGGAAAGTGAACTTCCGCAGATCTTGCTGGGCCCCCACCTCCTGAGATCAGGTCTCAGCCCGGCCCCCACCCAGAAAGAAATCCATGTTTCCTCAATCCGAGACAGACTTTTCTCATATTTTCCCATCTCTAGGGGTTGGAATGCAGCCTGTATATGCCGTTGGAGCTCCACGGTCACCCGCGCTTGACTGGGACGATGGAGCTGCTCACATTGAAATAACCTCAGTCAAGGGCATTTGCCTTCTTGGATCTACAGATATTATGCCTAATTGCAGTGTAAGCAACCTTCATATTATACTGTGATTGGGCATGAAAATGAAAAGTTATTGTCACAAACACAGGCATAAAATCTGTATGGAACATGTCAACATCTCCGAGTGAAAAGTGATAACATAACATTTGATTTGAGCTAATTCATCTACATTTTCCTACGTATATGGGCATAAAGATAAAGGGTAATTAAGTTCTGTGCCTAAAATTATACAGATCACCTTTAACAAGTTGAAAAGTGAAAGATGTAAGTGATACAGAACTGTGTCACAAGTTGTACATAAAACACTGTCCTAACGCTAGCTTTTTAGAGCCAAAAGAATCCACAATGTGACAAAACAACTATGGGGCACTTACTGTTCAGGCACAGGGCTGAGTACCTCTTGGGCATGATCCCCACCCATTCCACAGGATGAGGGGTGAGGTCCAAAGGGCTGGGGGTGGCCCTGTCCAGAGGCGTGGGGGCGATCTAGTCCCAGGACCTGAACCTCCCCCTGCTGCACCCTGCCCGGGGAATGAGGGGTTTCCCACCACGTGCTGCCTGCCAGGCGCACCTGGGCCGTCCCCTTACCTGTTGCTGGGATGCTCTGAGTAGAACCTTTTAGGTCGAGACAGTTCTGCCACCCGGCGGGACACCTCTGGACAAAATCGGAAGCAGCCCCAACTTAAAAGCCCATCCGCCCAGGGGTCTCCTTCCTGCCAAGCACAGCATGCCACATGGGCCTGGACAGCTGGGCACCCACCCACCAGGGGCAGAGCGGTGACTCCTGCTGCCCCGTGCTGGGCACAGTGGGCTCAAGGAGAACTGAGGTCCCTTGCTCAGGGCACACAGGCGGAGGGGCGGGGCTGTAATGGGGGCTCAGGCCCATCAGCTCCGCAGAAGCAAGCGCTCAGCGCTGCCCACAGCCCACTGGCTGGGAAACTGGCTTTGGTCTGAGGTTGGCACAGGCCTATGGTCTCCAGGGGGGCTTGCTGGCCCCTAGGAAAGAACCGGCCCTATGACTTCCCTGCAGATGTTCTCTTTGAAGGGACCCACTGTTCTCAAGTGTAGAAACCATTGTGGAAGAGAAGGTCAAGGGTCATTTTGTAGAGTCACCACTAACCCCGTGTTGGCTGTGGGGAAGACTGGGATTTCCCCTGGAGCACACTCCCCACGCCCCTCACCCCAGGACCAGCCTCCAGCTGCTCTGGCTCCTCAGGGCACAGAGTCCAGAGATGAGACCCTGGGAGATGAGGTGGGGAGAAGGTGGTGGGCAGACCCCACCTACCGGGCACAGTGACAGTGAGGGTAGTATCCTGCTGCGGCCTCTCCGTCCAGTACACGGATGGCCTGAAAAACACCCAGGGGTGCTCAGGGTGAGGGGAGCAGGCCTGGGCTCCCTGTGCCCTGCCATGAAACAGAGCCCCAGGCACCCCATGAACACAGCATGCATGAGGCAGGTGGTCACCAGGAGGAAGGAGGGAGAGTCGCAGGGGCAGGACGGGGGCAGCCAGAGAGGGCTTCCGAAGGAACGTCAGCCATCAGGATTGCAGGGTGTTGTGGAGAGAAGGGAGCCCCAGGAAAGGCACAGTCGGGGCCCACGGCCCCATGGCGGGAGCAGAGCCACTCCACACGGGGCGGGTACCCCAAAGCTCCAGGTGGAGGGTGTGTGGGGAGGGGGTCCTGGGAGAGACCTTGCCCGCCCTTGCCCTGGAGGAGGGAAGGCGGCTGGCGGAGGGGCCACCCACTCACCAGGTGATGCAGAGCTTCAGGCGCCGCAGGTGGAGGGCGATCCAGGCAAGGGCCTTGCAACAGCAGCCCGTCCTGTGGCAAGACAGGCCACGGCCGCCCTGCTCACGCCAGTTTGGTGACCCCGGGTCCCACCCCAGCCCACCTCTGGCCCCACACGCCCACCCAGGTCTCGGTGAGCCGGAGGATGCAGGGTCGCAGCTCACCTGTCCTTCAGGACCTGCCAGTCACTCTTGGGTTTCGCCAGGTCCAAGAGCCGTCTCCTCTTCCTCACCCTGGCCGGAGGCCCGCTCGGGAGCCTCTGGGCAACGGACAGGCGGCTGTGGGCGGGTGGATGGTGAGCAGCTCATCCTGCCTGAGAACCTCCCACCCTCCCAGGGCCTCTGGGGGCACCTGGACCCAGGTAACCAGCCACGCCACCTCAGGTGTCCCCTGAGGGGCAAAGAGGATCCCGTTCCCACCCAGCGGAGGCTGCCACTACTAAAGAAGAGCCTCGCACCTCTCACGAAGGTATGGCCGGTGCTGGCCGTACGCCAGGCCCCAAGGACCTGAGCTGCAGGGCTGTCTGCCCGTCCTGGCTGGGCAGCCCGGGCTGAGGCATGCGGGGGGCCGCCCGTCCCCTGCTCCATAGCCAGGCCTGGGAGCCCCTTGCCCACCAGCCACTTCCCACGGCCCACCTCATCTCAGGCACAGCCTCCTCTGTGTCCTTCTCCAGTGCCTTCCCCATCCCTGAGAGGGCCTCTTGTGGGTTCTGGGGGCCTGAGAACTCCTCCCTGGCTGTGTTCTCAAGGGGAGCCCCCTCCTCTTCCTCTTCAAGCCTCGGCTCCCTGATGTCCAGGTCCTGGGGCCTGGGGGCCTGGGGCCCTGGGGGCCTACACACAGGGCTCTGGAGGGCTAGGGAGGCTGCATCTGGCCTGCTATCCTTCTGTGCCTTTGACAAGTGGAAGACTAGCTGGCCATTCCTGCAGCGTCTGCAGGGGGATGGAAGAAGAAGGGCCGCTCCACCCCCTCCTTCCTCTCCCTCCCTCTTTTCTCCTCCTCCCTCCTTCCATCATCTCTGGTCTCTCTCCCTTCCTCTTCCCCAGTCCTCCTTGTGGTGGCCTCCAGGCTCAGGCCTCCTGCTACGGTGGAGAGAACAGGCCTGTCCTGTTTCAAGGTGCCCCCATCCCCCAGGGGCCCACGGGCAGAGAATACTCAGTAAGTCATGTACCAGCAGTCCTGACCATCAGTGCGGGCCCTTCACGGGGCAAGGCAAGCTCTGGAATAAGGCCGCAACAAGCAGGAAAGGTGGCCTCTGTCCTCAGGGTCTCACGGGTGGCTGGAAGAATCAAGTCCACCCGGACCCTGTGCTAGGGGCTGGGAGGAGCACAGGGCACGTGGGCATGCAGGGGGCTGGAGCTGGGGTTCCCACAAGCCAGAGAAAACAGGAGCACACAGGAGCTGGATGCACATGGGAGGGTGTCCTAGGTGGAGGGGACTGCATGAAAAAGGGTGTCTAGGTACCCGCATTTACCCAAAAAGGCGGGTACCGGGAGGAGGAGAGGTCAAGAGGGACCAAATCCTGCTGCGCCTTGAATCTCAGGCTTGAATCTGGACTTCCTGGGGTCACTGGGGAGCCTAGAGGGTCTTGGAGCACAGAAGGGACAATGCTGAAGCCCAGGAGCACACTGGCGCAGCTCCCGGTAAGAGGTGGGACTGGCAAAGGGACAGTGCGGGTGCTGTCCTCCGGGCCCTGGTCCAACCAGACTGGCCATAAAAACTCTTTCCTGGGGCAGCTGGGGAAACTGAACATGGCCCGAGCATTCCGACATCAGGACATTAGTGTTCAGTCTTTTACTGTGACCATCACATTGAGGTTGCTCTTGAATGTCCTTGTGTGTCCGGAGGACACCCCGTGGTGGGTTTCTGCTCAGGGCTGGTGCAGATGCAAAATGGTGCCGCCCCTTTGGAAAACCATTTGACCGTTTCTTACGGAGACATAGCCTTGCCCCAGCAACCCCACTTCCAGATCTGCGCCCTAATGATATGGAAACATATCCCCCACAAAACCCTGCACACAAAATGTTCATAGCAGCTTTTTTTGTAATAGCCAAGAACTAGGAACAACCCAAATGTTGCTCAATGGGTGGGCAGGTGGATAAGCAATTTGTGGTCCCGCAGGAAAGAATGGGACTCAGTACTATGGAATGAGCTGCTGATGCCTGCAGGAATCCAGACAGTTACCTAAACCCCAGGCTGAGGCCCCACAGGACGTCCTGGGGGAGGGAGACTGTGTGGCGGAGAAGAGGTCACGTCAGGCCTGAGCAGGAGGGGACCCTTCAACCCGACAACAGATAAGGGTCTACTTGGGCATGGACACCACTTCCTTGTAATCTCGGACACCAGATTGCTTAAGGCCCAGCGTGAGCAGAGAGAGAGCGCAGGGCTCCCCCTGAGCTGGCTTCAGACTGAAGCTTTTCCTGCACAGATCCCAGTGGGTGGCACTCGCTGCCCTGGAACTTCCTGCCTCCCACCATCTGGGCAGGCAGTGCAGAGGACAGCAGGGCACCTACCTCAGACATGTTCATGCTCCACATGTTATTCCGCACCCTCGGAGTGGCCAGTTCCCGCACACGCCTGGATGCTTGGTATTTCAAGGTGGGTCGAGCGATGGGCCAAATGGGGGAGGTCCTAGGGGACATGCACATTTAAAACACCAGTGAGGTCCAGGGGGAGGGGTCTTCGTGCTTCTGTGTGTCTCGCCTCTTTTCTCGGCCTCTGACTCTGGGGACCAGGGAGCACCTGGGAGAGTGGAGGTTCTGGAAACACCTCCCAGAAGGAATTCCCACAAGCGTCCCTAACAGAAGCGCCTCCAGTCCTCCAGAGGCCCCCTCCCAGGTCAGTGCACCGCAGCCCTTCATGCCCGAAGAGGGCACTTCTTCTGTCCCCTCAGTGGGGACAGCCCCCCAGGCCATCCTCCCCTTGACCCGTCATCAGGGCTGGGCCAGGATCAGGATGAAACGGATAAAGCATGTCTGGCAGTTGCCACAGAAAGTTGGGAAAGTGAACTTCCGCAGATCTTGCTGGGCCCCCACCTCCTGAGATCAGGTCTCAGCCCGGCCCCCACCCAGAAAGAAATCCATGTTTCCTCAATCCGAGACAGACTTTTCTCATATTTTCCCATCTCTAGGGGTTGGAATGCAGCCTGTATATGCCGTTGGAGCTCCACGGTCACCCGCGCTTGACTGGGACGATGGAGCTGCTCACATTGAAATAACCTCAGTCAAGGGCATTTGCCTTCTTGGATCTACAGATATTATGCCTAATTGCAGTGTAAGCAACCTTCATATTATACTGTGATTGGGCATGAAAATGAAAAGTTATTGTCACAAACACAGGCATAAAATCTGTATGGAACATGTCAACATCTCCGAGTGAAAAGTGATAACATAACATTTGATTTGAGCTAATTCATCTACATTTTCCTACGTATATGGGCATAAAGATAAAGGGTAATTAAGTTCTGTGCCTAAAATTATACAGATCACCTTTAACAAGTTGAAAAGTGAAAGATGTAAGTGATACAGAACTGTGTCACAAGTTGTACATAAAACACTGTCCTAACGCTAGCTTTTTAGAGCCAAAAGAATCCACAATGTGACAAAACAACTATGGGGCACTTACTGTTCAGGCACAGGGCTGAGTACCTCTTGGGCATGATCCCCACCCATTCCACAGGATGAGGGGTGAGGTCCAAAGGGCTGGGGGTGGCCCTGTCCAGAGGCGTGGGGGCGATCTAGTCCCAGGACCTGAACCTCCCCCTGCTGCACCCTGCCCGGGGAATGAGGGGTTTCCCACCACGTGCTGCCTGCCAGGCGCACCTGGGCCGTCCCCTTACCTGTTGCTGGGATGCTCTGAGTAGAACCTTTTAGGTCGAGACAGTTCTGCCACCCGGCGGGACACCTCTGGACAAAATCGGAAGCAGCCCCAACTTAAAAGCCCATCCGCCCAGGGGTCTCCTTCCTGCCAAGCACAGCATGCCACATGGGCCTGGACAGCTGGGCACCCACCCACCAGGGGCAGAGCGGTGACTCCTGCTGCCCCGTGCTGGGCACAGTGGGCTCAAGGAGAACTGAGGTCCCTTGCTCAGGGCACACAGGCGGAGGGGCGGGGCTGTAATGGGGGCTCAGGCCCATCAGCTCCGCAGAAGCAAGCGCTCAGCGCTGCCCACAGCCCACTGGCTGGGAAACTGGCTTTGGTCTGAGGTTGGCACAGGCCTATGGTCTCCAGGGGGGCTTGCTGGCCCCTAGGAAAGAACCGGCCCTATGACTTCCCTGCAGATGTTCTCTTTGAAGGGACCCACTGTTCTCAAGTGTAGAAACCATTGTGGAAGAGAAGGTCAAGGGTCATTTTGTAGAGTCACCACTAACCCCGTGTTGGCTGTGGGGAAGACTGGGATTTCCCCTGGAGCACACTCCCCACGCCCCTCACCCCAGGACCAGCCTCCAGCTGCTCTGGCTCCTCAGGGCACAGAGTCCAGAGATGAGACCCTGGGAGATGAGGTGGGGAGAAGGTGGTGGGCAGACCCCACCTACCGGGCACAGTGACAGTGAGGGTAGTATCCTGCTGCGGCCTCTCCGTCCAGTACACGGATGGCCTGAAAAACACCCAGGGGTGCTCAGGGTGAGGGGAGCAGGCCTGGGCTCCCTGTGCCCTGCCATGAAACAGAGCCCCAGGCACCCCATGAACACAGCATGCATGAGGCAGGTGGTCACCAGGAGGAAGGAGGGAGAGTCGCAGGGGCAGGACGGGGGCAGCCAGAGAGGGCTTCCGAAGGAACGTCAGCCATCAGGATTGCAGGGTGTTGTGGAGAGAAGGGAGCCCCAGGAAAGGCACAGTCGGGGCCCACGGCCCCATGGCGGGAGCAGAGCCACTCCACACGGGGCGGGTACCCCAAAGCTCCAGGTGGAGGGTGTGTGGGGAGGGGGTCCTGGGAGAGACCTTGCCCGCCCTTGCCCTGGAGGAGGGAAGGCGGCTGGCGGAGGGGCCACCCACTCACCAGGTGATGCAGAGCTTCAGGCGCCGCAGGTGGAGGGCGATCCAGGCAAGGGCCTTGCAACAGCAGCCCGTCCTGTGGCAAGACAGGCCACGGCCGCCCTGCTCACGCCAGTTTGGTGACCCCGGGTCCCACCCCAGCCCACCTCTGGCCCCACACGCCCACCCAGGTCTCGGTGAGCCGGAGGATGCAGGGTCGCAGCTCACCTGTCCTTCAGGACCTGCCAGTCACTCTTGGGTTTCGCCAGGTCCAAGAGCCGTCTCCTCTTCCTCACCCTGGCCGGAGGCCCGCTCGGGAGCCTCTGGGCAACGGACAGGCGGCTGTGGGCGGGTGGATGGTGAGCAGCTCATCCTGCCTGAGAACCTCCCACCCTCCCAGGGCCTCTGGGGGCACCTGGACCCAGGTAACCAGCCACGCCACCTCAGGTGTCCCCTGAGGGGCAAAGAGGATCCCGTTCCCACCCAGCGGAGGCTGCCACTACTAAAGAAGAGCCTCGCACCTCTCACGAAGGTATGGCCGGTGCTGGCCGTACGCCAGGCCCCAAGGACCTGAGCTGCAGGGCTGTCTGCCCGTCCTGGCTGGGCAGCCCGGGCTGAGGCATGCGGGGGGCCGCCCGTCCCCTGCTCCATAGCCAGGCCTGGGAGCCCCTTGCCCACCAGCCACTTCCCACGGCCCACCTCATCTCAGGCACAGCCTCCTCTGTGTCCTTCTCCAGTGCCTTCCCCATCCCTGAGAGGGCCTCTTGTGGGTTCTGGGGGCCTGAGAACTCCTCCCTGGCTGTGTTCTCAAGGGGAGCCCCCTCCTCTTCCTCTTCAAGCCTCGGCTCCCTGATGTCCAGGTCCTGGGGCCTGGGGGCCTGGGGCCCTGGGGGCCTACACACAGGGCTCTGGAGGGCTAGGGAGGCTGCATCTGGCCTGCTATCCGACCTGCCCTCTGCCTCCAAGGCGTGGCTGCTGCGCAGTGACCTTTGCCAGTGGTCCCCCATGTCCTGAGACCCCAGCTCTGCAGTCTCGCTCCCACAGCACCCAAATGTATCTGTGGTCACCCGGCAACAGGAGAATGGCCTGGCCAGGTTCTTGGCATCCACATTCCAACTCCAGCCTGCCCATAGGGCTACCACCCAGTGGGACAGCGGCTCTGCATGGCAGCCCCACGGGCCCCGTGAGGGCCCACGCGCCTGTGGCCTCAGCCCCTCCCTGTCCTCTCCTGCCGCTCTGCCTCCCTGCCCGGACACATGCAGCCGAACCCACCTCAGGCCTTGGCACTTGTTCACTCTGCCCACACCTGTCAGGCAGGCATCTGCTCAGAGAGGCAGCCCCATTCCCGGCCCTCAGCACCCCGGGGTCCTCCGGGATTCTCTTCTCTGCCTTACAGAAAGTTGCCTCCCCCAAGACCCGGCCTGGCACCCAGTCTGCAGAAGGCTCCGGGGAGATCTGCTGCTGGCCAGCTCAGCTGAGAGCGGGACTCAAGGCTGGTGCCCCAGCTCCGTCCTACATTTCCTCTTAGTAAGAGGCCCCGCTGGCGCTCCGACTGGGGAGTCAGCGCTGGTGCCCCAGCTCACCAGGTGTTCCACCCCCTACCCCAGACTGGAGTAGGAATGAGACCTCAGGGGGCACCTGCAGGGGGCTTCTGCTCTCTTGGAAGGAGGCACAAGGCTCTTCTTCTTGGTTATTTTTGGGCCTATCTGATGTCCAGAGCAGAGGCAGGCACCTTGTGACCATGAGATCGGCTAGTCTGAGGACAGTGAGCTGCTGAGC